CTATGCGTGTGGAAAGACAGTAAGATCACAGACGTCATGATCTCGCCGCTCCTTTGAACCCAGCTGCTCTGTTGATGTTACTGTGTGTGTAATGGCTCTTATGGCGTGGTCGTCTGAGCGTGGCTTTATGCGGCGTTGCTCTGCGGGCGTGGTTTGCTTGCGTGGCTCTGTATGACGTGCTTGTGGCGGTCGGTCTGTAGCGTGGCTCTGTATGACGTGGCTCTCTCGGTAGTTGGGGTGGCTCTGTATGCGTGGCTCTGTGATGCGTGGCTTGGTCAGGCGACGGTCTGTGTGACGTGTCTGTGGTGGCTCTGTATGCGGGCTCTGTTTGACGTGGCTCGTGTATGCTGGCTCTGCCTTGACGTGGCTCTGTATGACGTGCTCTGTAGCGTGGCTCTGTATGGCGTTGGCTCTGTGACGGCTCTGTAGCATGTGTCTGTATGGCGTGGCTCTGCAGCATGGCTCTGTATGGAGTTGTGTGGCTTGTGGGTGCTCTGTGAGCCTTGGCTCTGGCTCTGTGGCCTCGCGCGCTCTGTGACGTGGCTCTGTACAGTTGCCTTGTGTGGCTCTGTGACGTGGCTCTGTATCTCTGTGGGCTCTGTGCAGTGGCTCTGTGACGTGCTCTGTGTGTCTTGTGGCTTGTGTGGCGTGGCTCTGTATGTGTGTCTGTATGACGTGGCTCTGTGAGCGTGGCTCTGTATGGCGTGGCTCTGTATGACGTGGCCTGCATGACGTGGCTCTGTATGGCGGCTCTGTATGGCGGGCTCTGTATGACGTGGTTTGTATGGCGGTTCTGTAGTGACGTGGGTTTCTGCATGACGTGCCTGTATGGCGTGGCTCTGTATGGCGTGGCTCTGACGTGGCTCTCAGGGCGTGGTTTCGGGCGTGGTTGTATGACGTGGTTTCTGTATGGCGTTGTGGTGGAGTGGCTCTGTGCATGACGTGGCTCTGTATGACGTGGCTCTGCGGCGACGTGGCTCTGTATGACGTGGCTCTGTATGGCGTGGCTCTGTATGACGTGGCTCTGTATGGCGTGGCTCTGTGGCGCGTGGCTCTGTATGACGTGGCTCTGTATGGTGGCGTGGCTCTGTATGGCGTGGCTCTGTATGACGTGCTCTGTATGGCGTGGCTCTGTATGGCGGCTCTGTATGACGTGGCTCTGTATGGCGTGGCTCTCTGTATGGCGTGTCTTGTATGACGTGGCTCTGTATGGCGTGGCCTCTGTATGGCGTGGCTCTGTATGACGTGGCTCTGTGGCGGCGTGGCTCTGTATGACGTGGCTCTGTATGACGTGGTTCGTAGCGCGTGTGGCTCTGTGGCGACGTGGCTTGTATGACGTGGTCGGTATGGCGTGGCTCTGTATGACGTGGTTTGTGACGTGGTTTGGCGACGTGGCTCTGTATGACGTGGCTCTGTATGACGTGGCTCTGTATGGCGTGGCTCTGTATGGCGTGGGTCAGCGACGTGGCTCTGTATGGCGGGTTTCTGGCGACGTGGCTCTGTATGACGTGGTCGTATGACGTGGCTCTGTATGACGTGGCTCTGTATGACGTGGCTCTGTGTGACGTGGCTCTGCATGACGGCTCTGTAGGCGACGTGGCTCTGTATGGCGGCTCTGGGCGACGGCTCTGTATGACGTGGCTCTGTATGACGTGGCTCTGTATGACGTGGCTCTGTATGGCGTGGCTCTGTGTGACGTGGCTCTGTATGACGTGGCTCTGTATGGCGTGGCCTGTATGACGTGGCTCTGTAGGCGACGTGGCTCTGTATGACGTGGCCTGTATGGACGGGTTCTGTATGACGTGGCTCTGTATGACGTGGCTCTGTATGACGTGGCTCTGTATGACGTGGCTCTGTATGCACGTGGCTTGTATGGCGTGGCTCTGTATGACGTGGCCTGTATGACGTGGCTCTGTATGGCGTGGCTCTTGTATGGCGTGGCTCTGTATGGCGTGGCTCCGGCTGTGGCCAGCGGTGGCTCTGTATGGCGTGGCTCTGTATGACGTGGCTCGGCGACGTGGCTCATGGCGTGGCTCTGTATGGCGTGGCTCTGTGGCGACGGCTCTGTATGGCGTGGCTCTGTATGGCGTGGCTCTGTGGCGACGTGGCTCTGTAGACGTGGCTCTGTGATGGCTCGCGTGACGGCCTGGGATGGTCTGTATGACGTGGCCTGTAGGCGACGTGGCTCTGTATGGCGTGGCTCTGTATGACGTGGCTCTGTATGGCGTGGCTCTGTGGCGTGGCTCTGTGTGACGTGGCTTCAGGCGGCGTGGCTCTGTATGATGTGGCTCTGTATGACGTGGCTCTGTATGGCGTGCTCTGTATGGCGTGGCTCAGGCGACGTGGCTCTGTATGGCGTGGCTCTGTATGGCGTGGCTCTGTATGACGTGGCTCTGTATGGCGGGTTTCAGGCGATTTGCCTGTATGACGTGGCCTGGTATGGCGTGGCTCTGTATGACGTGGCTCTGTATGACGTGGTTTCAGGCGACGTGGCTCTGTGGCGTGGCTTCCATGATGTGGCTCTGTATGGCGTGGCTTCTGTACGACGTGGCTCTGTATGACGTGGCTCTGTATGACGTGGCTCTGTATGGACGTGGCTTGTAGACGTGGCTCTGTATGGCGTGGCTCTGTATGGCGCTTTGTATGACGGGCTCTGTATGGCGTGGCTCTGTATGACGTGGCTCTGTATGACGTGGCTCTGTATGGCGTGGCTCTGTGGCGACGTGGTTTGTGGCGACGTGGCTCTGTATGGCGTGGCTCTGTATGACGTGGCTCTGCGACTTGCCTTCATGACGTGGCTCTGTATGACGTGGCTCTGTATGACGTGGCTCTGTATGACGTGGCTCTGTATGGCGTGGCTCTGTATGGCGTGGCTCTGTATGGCGTGGTTGTAAGTTTAGGTCTTGGGAGGGGTGGATATTTTTTTATTAAGGTATTAAACTTAGGGTCGATACTGCAAATGAATTAATTAAAACATCTTCACGTGTTACTTAAATAATTAATCTACCTGTCGTGTCTAGATTTAAGGAGTAAACTTAAAACACCCCTGAGTGTATTGTGAACCTTAACATTTACTGATGAGAGAGAGAGAGAGAGAGAGAGAGAGAGAGAGGAGAGGGATTAGCAGGGAGGTGCAAAGGTTGGGGATTAGATAGAGTATGAGGAAGTGGTTGAGGGAGTGGAGGAGGGAGGTGTAGAGGAGGGGGTGGGGAGGCATAAAGTAGGGAACCGCATTAAGGGAAGATGAAGGGAGGTGTAGGTAACAATGAGGGTGGCGAGGAAGGGGGCGGGGGGGGGGAGGTGAGACATTAGTTATCTCGAAGGGGGTGGAAGGAAGGAAGGAAGAGAGGGAAGAAGAGAAGGTGAGAATGGGAGGGGTAGATCAGGGTGGCGAAGAAGGAAGGAAGGAAGGAGGGAAGGCAAGAAGAAAGGTGAGGGTGTTAAGGATGGCCAGGAACAGCTACTTGGCATCTCAGAAGGTCAACAGGTGAGATAAGGAGGGTGTGAGATGGAGGCTGAGTGTGTCTCAGGTATGCCTCCTATTCCTCCTCCTCCTCTTCTTCTCCTCCCCCTCCTTCTCTTCTTCTTCTTCTTTCTCTTCCTCCTCCTCCCACTCTTCTTCCTCCTCCATCAGATGTTACAGAGAAATTTATGAGTTATTGGAATATTCAGGGGGAAGAATTCTCACATACATACATACATACATACATACATACATACATACATACATACATACATACATACAGTACTTACATACATACATTGCAAGATAGTCAGCACACCTTAATTATGATATAGAAATTAATGTGTCCAAACTGTATTTCTAGTAATAGCTTTTGTCTCTGGACTGACTGACTGACTGACTGACTGACTGACTGACTGACTGACTGACTGACTGCCTGCCTGCTGGTGGTGTGGTGGTATCTGAAGGCTGTATCAGACCTCAACTTACTGTACTTTGCTTGAGGTTACACTGTGTCGTAAACCGAGACTCAGATCACTAGATGGAGATAAGAGCCTGACCTAGCCCCCAACACACATTGGGCCACCACACAATACTACACACACACACACACACACACATCATCATTTACATATCACACACACACACACACACACACACACACACACACACACACACACTGCCCGAGGTTGGTAGGAGAGATGTGATATTAATGGTGGTGGTGGAGGCAGGGTGGTAGCTGCGGTGGTGGTAATGGTGGTGGTGGTGGTAATGGTGGAGGTGGTGGGTAATGGTGGTGGGGATGGTGGTGACAGCTAACAATGGTCTCTTTGGGGTGGAGGACTCACTCTTTTTCTCTTCTTGGGCATCCTTACCTCACCCCTCAGCCACCCTCACCTCACCCCTCATCTTACCTCTACCTCTATCTTAATTTTTTCACCTCTTAATCCTCGCATCTACCTCTCACCTCACCTTATCACCTCACCCCTCAGCCACCCTCACCTCACCCCTCAGCCACCCTCACCTCCCCTCATCTTACCTCAGCTCATCCCTCATCTTACCTCACCTCATCTTCCTCACCTCATCCCTCCAGCCACCCTCACCTCACCACCCAGCCATCCTTACCTCACCCCTCCCCCCACCCTCACCTCACCCCACCAGCTCCACCTCCCCTCATCTTACTCCCTCATCTTACCTCACCTCATCCCTCAGCCACCCTCACCTCACCACCCAGGCAGCCTCCCGCCACGCACCTTCACCGCCTCCTGCACCAGCACCTCAGGGAGACTATTATTTACTGCTTAATTAACCTTATACACCCAGCCTACCACCTGTGTGTATTCGTTACTCTGGGCGGCTTGGGGTGGGTGGGTGGGTGGCTGGCTGGCTTTGGACGGTTATCTGTGTAGATCTGAACTCGTATATCAAGAGGTACTTCCATGCCTCCCCTGGTCAGCCCTCCCGTGTATCACCCTCCAACACCACCTCCAACACACCTCCAACACACCTCCAACGCCACCCCCAACAACCTCACCTTACACACCTCCAACACACCTCTGAACATCTTGTGAGGCGAAATTTCTACCATGGAGCAATAAGATGACGTCACGTAAAGGAAGAAAACAGTCATCAGGTCAGAGGGATTCTACGTAGATTACTTCGAGATAAGTTACAGAAGTGACATAAGTAAGACATTTTCAGGGGTTAAGTAAGATTAGACTAAGCCTCCGGGGAGTGGGTGGGGTGGGGGCGTGGGGTGCGGTTGGGGTTGAGGAGTGTGGGGTGATGTTGGGTGAGGTGGGGAGGGATGGGAGTGTGAGGGGGGGGATAGGGAGGGGTAAGGAGGGGAGGTGAGGAGAGAGGGGGGGGGGCAGTGTAATGGTTTCTGAAGATATAACGTGTGAGGAAGATGGTGTGTTTAAAGTTGACCTGCAGGCGTCGTTGTTAGTATCGCCACCATCAGTATTCCTCAACGCCGCCGCTTAGTGTAGTAAGGTTCTATGGGGGGTGATACCTGAGGCTTAACCGACGCCTTGGCCGCATCTAGGGACCATAAACACTATCACCAGCCGGGTATCTTAATCCATACACACAGAAACAATTGTCCTCGCCCCCTGGCTATACCCGCACGCCCTCCCTTATGCCCCTAAACCTGTACCTTCATGCCTCTTTCCTCTCTTATGCCTCTAAATCTCAGCCTTCATGCATCTATCCTCTTTTATGCTATGCCCTACCCTCCCTTATCCTATACCCTGCCCTCCCTTATGCCATGCTCTACCCTCCGTTATGCCATGCCTTACCCTACCCTCCCTTATGCCATGCCTTACCCTACCCTCCCTTATGCCATGCCTTACCCTACCCTCCCTTATGCCATGCCTTACCCTCCTTTATGTCATGCCCTACCCCCAAACTTCTACCTTCATGCCTTTACCTATGCCGCTCTCCTTCCTTATGCCCCTAAATCTCAGTCTTCGTGCTTGTACATGCCACCTTCATGTCTCTACCATTTACATTCACGCCCCTTACCCTCCCTCCCTCCCTCCCTCCCTATGCATCCTCACACCCCTACACCTCACGCCCCTACACCCTTACCTCATGCCCCTACACCCCATACCTCTCATGCCCCCACACCCCTACCCCCCACGCTCCCTCACACCCTACCCTCACGCCCCTACACCCCCCTACCCCTCACACCCCCACCCCTACCCTCCACCCCTACACCCCCAGCCTTACACCCCTACCCCATGCCTTCACCCTACCTCACGCCCTCCCCACCCACGCCCCATCCCCACCACCCCACCCCACACCCCTACCTCCCCCTACCCTCCCTCCCGCACTTCATGTTACTATAGTCTCAATGCAAATTCTAATAACCTACCATTTTTACCCTGGCTTAAGTTCCCGCCGCTAATTACGAGAAATATTGAACATACGAGAGAATCTGGGCTCCTGTAGGGACATATTTCGCCTGTGTAGTTAAGGACACAGACTCGTGGGTGACTCTCCAGGGGCGGCGCCGCGTGTGGAAGGACTTAGAAGGATTTGATTGGTGTCCACACAACAAGCACAGTGTACAGGGTGTCTCAGAATTTTTTTTTATACACACCGCCTTGTA